GCTGTGGATGGGGGAACAGGAGTTTTCTGAGACTGCTGCACCAGTCCTGGAAAGTGTCTGGGGCCTGCAGGTGCTTCTGTGCCCTGTACTCTGAGGGAAATGTTCCCCAGTACCACTGGCACCATCCAGCTGTCTGAGGCTGATGCTAAGAATATCTGCTGGTGGTATGTGGGGAGAATTCTTCCACCTAAAGGCAGCAGGCAGGACCTGTGTAGGTGCTGCCTGTGTAGGTATTGTGCATATAAGGCACAGCCTCTCTCCCCAGTATGCTGTATAAGCACAGAAGACAGATAAAGGGTGCATAGGTAGAAGGAGAGGAAGAAATATTTTCTCTTTTTTGCAGATGAGGAGACATCCAATCTGGAGGTCTGAACACTAGCCACTGAACATGAGGGTCAGAGTCCCAAAAAAGAAATTGTTTACCAATTTTTCCCATTTTCCAGTAGCATTGTTTAAGACATTCGTGAAGAGAAAGGAACAGTGTTGCATGTGAATGAAAATTCCTAGGTGTTGTGGCAATGTATTAAAACATTGCATTTGAGTACTTGTCAAGTACAAAATACAAGTGGCTAATGCTGCAGTCGAATGCATTTTTTCAAGAAGTCAGCTGCTTTCTTATTGCATTTATAAAATATATCTCCATGGAATTATGTTTTCTGAGACATGAATCAACACAACATATGTTACAGTGCTTCAGCTTTGTTTTCATAATGAAAAGAAGCTGTTTTAATAGCATCTGTTATAGTGCTGGGAACGTATCCTGCCACAGATTCTCAGTGAAAAAAACACCAATTGCAAGTCAAAGAACTCAGATCCAGGTTTAAAGGAATGGGATGTGATTATGCCTGCTATTACCTAGTTATCTGTTCTGCTGTTCTTCGTTTCTACAATTATTTAGCAGAGTTAACACAGAAATGCAGTAAAGGAAACACTCAAACTCAGTATTATTTCTGGGTATAGACCAGCAAGGAATTTTTTCTTCTTTAAACCAGCAAGGAATTTTGACTGCAAAGTCCTAGTGAAATATTTTTTTTTCCTTTAGGATGGTAGCTTTCCTTTGCTGCAGTCATCTTCTAAAATATACATTATAGATTATCTTCCTTTGAGAAAATAGTGAAAGGGAAACTTGCTGTACTGGGACTTGGTAAACAGGCTCTAATCTAATTTATATTACAGGGTACCAATTACTGGGGAATTCATATACTACTAAATGTCACTTCCAGTCTCTTCCTAGCAATGACAAAAACAATTTGTGATTCATTCTAATCATGTGAAGGCCATACATAATTCCCCTCATAACTGCAAGATTATGGCTTTTCAAGGTTCTTTCACCCTTCCCACTGCCCTGCAGTAAAAGAAAATAACAGTTGTTTGGATTTTGAGTTATTTCTCTGGACCCAGAAACTAAAAGGTAATGACAGAACTTTTGAATAGTTTTCTCTCCTTTTGACCCTGCCAAAGTGCAAGGAGTTACAAAAAAATGAACAGTTATGATCAGGAGATTGCACTAGGCTTTTACACATGCTAAATAATCTGGCTGTACATAATATTTCATATTTCCATGTAGCCTGATAGACATAAAGGTGTGTAACGAGTGGAGATGTGATATCTGTTTCAAAGAGCATTGGTCTAAATCACAGCCATGGAGATTTCCCAGGGAAAGGGGAAAGATGGAAGATGTCTGAGTACAGCAGTGGGGGTTTTAGGGTGATAAACCTAAAAGCAGAGACACCAGTCTCTGCTTCCTTGGTTTGGTTTTGCAATTCTTATAAACAGAATTGTAGTCAAGTAATGCAAAAAAAAGCCACAGCTGGCACAGGCAATACTCTTTGAAAATCCCTGTTTGTTCAGTTGACAATGATATATAGATCTTTATGCTTTAGTGATGGATATTGAAATGCCTGGATTGATAAGTTTTGCTATATATAAAAATAGATAGGGGAAATATAAAACTTTGACATATAAAAGGATGATAAACTAGAAATATAATTTAAAAGAACTCTGCCAGTGCTTGAGTGTCTGGCATTTTCTGCTTCATGAATTGTAATCTTTGATGGGGGGCAGGGAGAAGAGCTCATTTTCACTCAGAGAAGCAACAGAGAGAATTTCTGATGAAAACCCAGGTTGTCTTGAAGGCACATTTAGATCTCCCTGGCTCATACTGTCAGGGTCTGAAGATCTTTTTATCAGAAAGATCTTAAGACCATGCCTGGTGATCCTCTAGGAACAACTCCCCTAGGGCTGCTAGGGAGGATGGACTAAGGCTCTGCCAGGTGACACATGATGGCTGCAGGGTGACAGTCACATCAGCCCGAGCACAGGCAATGCCTCCTGCCCACCACTGACCAGGGATCTGCTCCTGTGTGGATGTGTGGGTACACAGCCACAAATAGGGTGGTCTTGTTTGTGAGACAGGTTGTCCCTTCTACAGCAAGACACAAATAGTTCCTGCCTTCCCACATTTCTGTGAGAAGGGAGGGGAAGCAGATCTCTTGTGACATGAGTGAGGGTCTGCAGAGCATACACTGCCCATGATAAACACAGATTTTGCCTATCATAAAAGACGCTTTCCTCATTTTTTTTCTTGTGCTGAGTTGCATCACCCTCACAGAGCAAACTTCCAATAAGCAGAAAGGTCACGGAATCACAGAATCACAGAAATTCTAGGCTGGAAGAGACCTGTAAGATCATCGAGTCCAACCCATGTTCTAACACTTCAACTAGATCATGGCACCAAGTGCCACATCCAGTCTTTTTTTAAACTCTTCGAGGGATGATGACTCCCCCACCTCTCTGGGTAGATGATTCCAGTATTTGACCACTCTTTCTGTAAAATACTTCCTCCTTAATTCTAGCTTGCATCTCCCTTGGCACGGCTTGCATCTGGTCCCTGGTGAAATGTCCCCAGTATTTCTCCACCATCCTGACCTGATATTAAGATGTTTTTTAGAACATCCTGCTGTGCTGATAGCAAACAGATGACAGCAGAATTCACTTACTAAAATGAGCGTGATCAGGGCTGAATTTGACACAAGGATGTGGCATTGAGCTGGAGAGCTACCTGTTCCTGCTCTTCTTCAGACTGGAATTCTTCTCATTGTGCTGTTTCTTCTCTTTCATACATCCAAGCAGATGTTGAAAGCAAAACAAACTTGGAAAAGAGAACACTCAGTTGTACTCAAGAGTATTGCAGCAGAGATTGATGTAGTTAATGGATGAAAATACAAAAGACCCCCAACAAACAGCCAGACCCCAAACATCTTCTTCACTTATCACTTTCTTCCCCCTGGAAATTATTATTCTCTATATTGAACTCCAGTATCATACTTAATGTACTAAGCAGCCCAGGTGATGATGCAATTTTGACAACATTTTAATTTATTGGTGAACTAATGTTGACTCTGACAACCTGGAACATGAGACATTCTCCTACTTGCAATTTCCACTGCTACATGTTACATCAACTTGCTTATCAATCCCCTAGTCCTCCACACCCTTTTCCATTATTCCCCTTCACCATAACATAAAATGACTGAGTTTCAGGAAGGAACATCTATTCTGTGCTTGGCTAATCTCTGTTTTAATATTTGCTTGAAAGTTGTCCCTTAATAAACATTGAAATCTTTTGGAAAGGGAAAATCTGTCAGTATCACTCTTTTGACCTGTAGAAAAAATTTACTCATACAGACTGAAAAGACATCACTGCAGACCTGAAATCTAATCCTTTGAGCTATCATGTTTGCTCAGTAGCAAAGGAAATAATGTCTAGGGACACTGAGTGGCAGTTTCACATCATGGGTAAATGTTTTCTAAATACAAGGAGCTGGTTACCCCATAGTTACAAGTACAGCTGTGTCACCTGTGTGTGATCCGACAGACATCTGTAGCCAACAGAGGTGTGGACTGGACAGACAGTAACAAATGAGCCAGTGGCCTCATGCCCAGCTAGTCAGGCTGTCATCTCTTGTAGATTGGATTTATCCATCAGGGGAGTGAGTATCTGAGGTTCAGTTCAGAGGCAGTCATTCTGTTAATGCTCTGTGCTGCCTGACAAAAACCTCAGCCTGTCCCTGCTTAACTCATTCCTACTTTTCAAATCAAAACACAGCCAGGTCCAAGGTACTGGGATTCTCAAATAACAGCATTATTTCAGCCTCTTGTTTCAAATGCCACTGCTCAACTGGGGCAAGGAGAGTTGTGACCTGACCTCTCCAGTGGCCTCTATAATTTTCTGTGGAGTTCAATGAGTTTGGCTCATAGGATCAAGGCAAAGAAGAAGAGTGTCTGGGAATGCTTTTTGCTGCATGTATTGAAAGGACCTACCTGAAGAGTGCTACTTTTCATGTGGATGACTAATAAAACATGTGATGCAAGTGCAAACATCAGCTCTTGAGCAGCAAATGTGCATCTCCCAGCTTTTTGAACTTTTTGTGAGCATAGCAAGTCTGTACAATCAACACCAGAAACATGCACAAGAATATAAATGCAAGTAAAAAGCACACGTTATCTCCTCTTTAGCTTCAGATCTCATCCCTCTTCTGATAAAAGTTCTACATTTCAAATGTCATCACTCTGCAAGAAGACACAGTTTCTTCTTTCTGAGCCTATTAACACATTCAACACAATCAAAAAGACGGGATGGGGGAAAGGACAACAAGAGAAAGATGGTAGGGGTAAACAAAAGAAAGCAACACACAACCACTTTTCTGGCAGTTTTGAGAAGCATTTACTAGTCTTATCTTATGTAGAAAAATTCTGCTCTCTTTCAGGCATTCCTGAATGTACTTAGCATTGCTCTTGAGCACGCAAAACATTCCTCGTGATTGCCTGCACATCCCAGCAATCCACAGAAGATTTTACACATTTATTACCCAAAATCCTTGAAATCTAATGAATCTTAAGCTGCACACGGGTTCTGAGTATCCCCAGAGCTCCCTGCCACCCCCCCATCCTGCCTTTTGCTGAGTTAATCCGCAGCTCTGCTGGCTGAGGGGACTTACCAAGGGCTTTCCGATGGGAGGAAGCAGTTTGGAGCTCGCACACGCTGGAATCGCTGCTACCCAGTAATGAAGCAGGAGCTGAGAAGCCTCACTCTTTCAGCAGCTATTCAGGTAGTGCTGCCAGCTTTCTCCAGCTCTCTACATACACACACACGGGCGGGGGGGTCGGGAGGGGAGGCAGTGGGAAGGGGGGAGACAGGGAGAGGCACAATAAACTCTGACTATAATTATGAGAGCTCCTTTCTACAAATTGTAGCAGCAAGCGATCCCTTCAGCAGCCTTTTCAGCATGATCTCTTTAAAAAGGAGTCTCTTGCAAAAAATTGCATCCTTCCTACTCTCTTTCACTGTAAGAAAAATTAAAGCCAGCTCTCACAGAGATTTAGTCATTGATGTATCATAGAGAGGTTATTGTTGATCAGAGTTTTATTTTTTTTATGATGAAAGTTTTATTATAAAATCTAGCCTAGCTTGCAGTCAAAAGGAGACCTGACTTTGCTCTTTATAAGGAACAATCTCCCAGGAAAGCAGTTTAGATCAATAATTTCATGCATTTAATGACTGTATTTATGAAAGAAAGCATCCAGGCTAAGCAATTCACTAACTGAAAAGGTAACAGTTTAGTAAATACAAATCATTGCCTTTTTGTACCTGCATACACCATTAAAGGAAAAATGCAATGCTACATGTAAATTCATGGAAGGATTTACAATGGAATATTATTGCATTTGGCAAAGGGATCTGAAGGATTTTTAAAAGCTTAATCTCCAAGACAGATCCTTTCTTTAAAGTTCTTCAGAATCCTATTCTTTAGAATCCTTGTTCTTTGAAGACTTAAAATTATTTATCTTGTCATTACTCCTGATGTCACCTTTGATAAAATGAGATAAAAAATATCCTTTTCCTAAGTAAAAGAGAGAAGTGTTCTTCAATATTTCCCACCATCAATCCATCTCTCTTTCTCCCACATGATCACCCATACACTCACCTACACACGTGCACAGCACCATAGCAAATGTACCAACTAGGGGGGTGAAATCCTACACTTCCTTCAATCTACCAGCAGCCTGATTCCCCAGAAAGCAGTGGCTTTGTCCAGGTCTGGGTACATTTCAAATAACTACAGAGTCATCTGTAAAGCAGTTGAAGAAAAGGGTGAAAAAATGTAAGTAGGATGTATGAATCTGACTTTGTCCCCATGAGCAACACGGGGAGCACCAGTGAGCCAGCCTGGCAGAGCCCCCGTGTGACAATGACTTTAAGGACTATTAGTTGGTATCACAATTCAGATGCACCTCGAAACAAGGATGGAAATGGGAAGAAAAGAAGAGAAAATAATTGACAGAAGCCTATTAAAAAAAAATCAGTCACAACTGACAGTTGCCTTATTGATAGTTCTATCCAAAATATGTTAGCGCTTTGCAACGTTCCATGAAAGCCTTGTTCAGCCTGCTAACATTTTTCAGGGGATGTTTTCAAACACAGCTGCCTCATTATTAATCTCCAAAACATGTACTTAATATTTACTTTTAATCAAAGACAAATAATTTTCGGACCTGGTAAGTTTATCAGGAAATCATAAAACATGAAGTGTACAGAGAGAAGCTTCTTCCAAGGCTTTGACTTGTCTCAGTAGAAGAAGATGAAAAGATGGAAATTTCTGTCCTTTGTTGCTCCTGCCTCCCGGCTGCTCAGAGTGGATTAGGCAGCAGGTGGTAAATACAACCTTGTGTTTAAGCTGCAGACTAACACTGTCTGCCACCTCTTGTTCCTAAAGGAGCCCCAATGCAGATGGCCACAAAGGCATGTGGGGTCATTGGTGGCATAGACAGAGGCAGCCATGACTTTCAAGGCTTGGTTTTTCTTGGTATAAAAAGCAGGGGCTATTGGTGACCTATAGACCATACATTGCAACGTCCTACTGGTTGTTCATTTGCTGTGGAATTTCAGCATCACAAAACACGTTCTTCATCTGTCTATTCATCCTCTGGAGAGGTTGGTCAGGAGATTGGCAAGCTATGATGTTTGAATGGCAGAGGACTTCTGCCAAGGTCACAGCAGTTTTGCCAGTACTATTGGGGATCCCTGATCCCTGTCAGCATCCTCTCTCCCATCACAAGCACCCTCACTGCAGGACCTGGGGGGCCTGAGGCACCCTCGCTGCACTCCCACAGCTGGCATGTCTGTGCTCCAGCAGCAGGATGGAGCGTGGCTTGGGCAAGAGCTGCAGGTATCTGCTGTGGGCAGAGCCTCCCCACCTTGTGAGCTGTGCTAGCTGCAGGTGCAGGTTTTGAAAAGATTGTTTCTAGAAACTACAAGTAGGCAGTGGCAACGTGTTTACTTTGGGAGGGCAGCCCCAATGGCTGACATGTGAGATCTTTCTGCATTAAAAACAAACTGTCCAGCCCTTTAGCTATTCCTCCATCCGGGCTTGCTAATGAGAAGGTTCACAGAGAAGAATGGAAACAGAGTTCAAAGAACACCTCTTGCCATCATGATAGGAGGGTTCTGCTCTTAGGGGATTAGATTAATTTAATCAGATCTGTGGGTTGTCACTAGTGAGTGCATGCAATTAACACTTTAATGAAAAAAGGTTCTTTTTTGCAGTGCAAGAATCTGGGAGAACTCTTCCACAAATTACAGGTCTACAACTTGGAAAGAACTAACAAATCATCTGTGACCTGTGAATCTAATTGTATTGTGCAAAGAATGTTTCCTTCAGGGCTCTTTCCCTGATACATGTATCTATTTGCCATTCTTCTTTGACAAAAACCAATTTCTGTGGTTTGCTTGTCAATAAATATCCTTAATTTTTAATGAGTAATACTAAAGTCATTGACCTCCAGTAGAAGCAGGTTCTTAAAGAAATACCTCTCATTTTCTCTGAGATGTGCAACATTTTACTTGAAATACACCTCTGGACTAAAATGTGCATTTAACATACTGGAGGATGAGGGTGATGCCTGGGTTTGTTTTATTTCTTGCATGGATTCTGCTCTCCATCAGTATCAACTACAAGTTTTACACACTGGTATCCTGCTTACTGTCTGAAAAGAAGAGATTTACCTAGTACAGCATATGGTATCCTTTGGTAGTCAATTTGGACTGGGCACTGACTGATTCCAGCAAGTTCTAATAACATTTTTTCTCTTCTTCTTACTCTTTCCATGATTTATTGAGCAGAATGGTTTCACTAAGGAAGGAGGTATTAGTGCATACTTTATAATGATGTCAGAATAATCCCAGTTTCAGTATTACTAATACAGGAGAATCAATATCAGTTTTACAATGAAAAGAAATCTGGATGATCTGATATATGGAAGCACATAAATCATGCATGCATGCAGCTTCTGCCTCATGAGTGACACCACACTAGCTGAGATAAAACTGATTTCTGAAGACATAACTATCCCCTTTCATTCCTTCCTCACAAAATTCTAATCATTTTACAGAGCAAAGATACAGACACAGCCTTTCAGACAGTGATTTTTATATGTGCTAGATTGCCAGAATTAAGCATGTACATCTTAATATCACAGCTGCAAGATTTCACCCCATTGATTAAAAGAATCAATTCCTTGATTCATGGAAAATTCATGAATGGGAGGAGTGAAATTTCTGTGATAAAGCTTATATTCTGTTCTCATTTACATCCAGGTAAACCTAATTCCAGTGTTTTGCATCAATACTAACTGTGATCTGCAACACAATATTAATCAAGGTAGTGTTGTTAAATCTAGCATAGCATGTAAAAAGCCTGCAAATTCTATCTGAGATAGAGATTCTCTCTGACATAGAGATTTAGCACCTGTGAATATTGATGTGTGTCTTTTATAAAGTTACATAGAATCAGCAGGAACTTCTGCAATGTCATTACAGAACCCAAACCTCAAGGTCAAACTGTAAAACCCTCAGGGTTTCTAAGCCACTGAAATTTTGAATTCATTATTCTGAGGAGGCTGTTTCTCCTTAAATAGAAGTAGTTGATGGTGAGTGACAATTCTTTGGAATTGTGTATCAGCAATAACGCATTGCTTGTGTCAGCTGAAGAGAAAGGTAATTCACAGTAATGTTTATTAACTAATTAGGTTTACATAATGTTTTGTAGTCCAGGATGAGCTGGGGAGAAAACTGTTTATAAAACTTTTGTGACTGTTTTTTCTCTTTTTAAAATAAAACAAATAAATTAATTTTTATTTACAGCTATAAAACCTGAGATGATGAGTTGAAGTTATGTTCTATTGAGGGCTTTTTGGAGTGTTCATAGTAAGGAAGGTTCTAGGCAGATCCATGCAGAAGCTCAGTCTCACTCACTATCCTGTAGTGGAGGGCTTCTATCCCTACATTTTCTACCCTTGCTGATTGAAAGAGATGAAATATGAACACTGGTTAAGCCCTCAGCATATGTAAAACTGCTGGTGTCTGCTACAAACCCAAAAAGCGGAGTTAAGGCAACCCAACTGAAAGCTCACCAGTAACTTAAAATAACTTTATACAGCATTTCCGTGCTTTTATTTACATTTGAGGAGTTTTGATGACCATCACCACCTATTGAATCTGAGGAAACAAAAAAGCAGTTTGCACAGTAATTGCCATTGTGTGGCATATTGAAAGACCTGAGAAGTAGAAAAGAAGGACTTTAGGAAACTAATACCAGGGGCAGACTTGCCCTGGGAAGGTGACAGCTAGCAGAACAACAACTCTATGAAACATGGAGAAACAGCAGCACAAACAGGTGAGGTAGGTGTAAAAGTGGTTGCTGCTGAGTCCAGTGTTTTTCCAGCAAGCTTTTAACTCCCCATGTTTTGATCTAGCAGGAAGTCATCATGGAGCATGGCTTTCTTTATCACTCTCTGCACTTTTAATGTGTCAGAAAATTTCAGTCGCAGCCATTAGAGCATTCGTACCAGCACTCAAGTTAACTGATCTGGCTGCAGGTCTGTTTAGGCTGCCTCTCCATCACCATAGAGGTGCTCTTCCAGTAACCCCTGAGTGATCTAAAGGAGCTTGTTTCCTTCTCCTGGCTCTGGATGGCTGTGGTGGAGGCTAACAAGCAT